AAAAAAAAGAACAGAGTATGAGGCACACAACAATACGAATGTATTTCAAAACCACGAAGCAGAAAGAAAGAAACCAGACACAAAAGATTCCCCACTGTACGATTTCCATTTGTGAACTTTTAGAAAAAACACAGTGACTCTATCAGTGGTAAGGTGGGGTGGGAGTCAGGGGTATTGCATCCACAGGGGTGTGAGAAATGTTGGGGGGTGGAAATGATCTGTGTCTTGATTGTGAGGGTGGTTACCTGCATGTGTTTTTCAAGACTCATTGAACTACACATGTAAAGTGGATGCATTAGGAGAGAGAGGCGAGCACGTGTGAAAGAAGGAAGCCTAAAGGTCGGTGTGTCGTTAGGGAGGGGAGGGGGCAGGACTGAAGATCCTGGGAGACGGGGTGCCGCTTGGGAGCCCTAGGTAGATGAGGGAGATACCCGTGAACATGAAGGTGAAGCCCACCCTCCGTTTTGTAGAGATGCGAAGGGAAGGTGGTGAGTTGGGCGCACTTGCAGGGTGAAGGGTGGGGAGTTGCAGAGCTCACTCTGCCCCGCACTTCCCCTGGGCCACTGGAGGCCGAGCCATGTGTGGGGAGAGGGGCCTCGGGGCCAGGAGGGAAGGTCTGGAACACCCACTGTGAGGAACAGGCAGCCGGGGCTAGCCAGGGAGGAGATACACTTATCTCCTGTGACTTGGGGCCCAGCTGGCCGCAGACGCACAGTGGTATCTCCAAGAGGGATTGTGGTGTGTTCCTCAGCAGTGCTCAGAGCCTGGGTGGAGGGAAGGGGGTTGCTGGGTAGATTCTGGGCTGAGAGGGGATAGAGCATAGCTGCTGGATTATTAGAAGTAATCAACAATGGATATCCAGGCTGGGCAGGAATAGAAACAGAAAGGAAACTTAACAAATATATTGAGCGCCTCCTATGTGCCAGGCATTGTTTTAGAGTTTTGGGATATAGCAGGCAACAAATGATGAATCCCAGACCTTACAAAGTTTACAGTAGCTAGAGTTAGACAGTAAATAAAATATATGAAACTATACTTCAGAGGTGCTAAGTGTCATGGAGAAAAATTAAGCAGGGAAGAGGGTGGGCATCCTGGGGAGTAGGAGGTAGTCATGGAAGACCTCTCTGGGATGGTGACATTTGATCAAAGACCTAGGCAGAGGAAACAGCAAATGCAAAGGCCCTGTGGCAGGGGCACACTTGGCAGTATTCGAGGAATACGGGGAGGCCAGCACTTCCTTTGGAGATAAAAATACTTAAATGTTTACCCTTATGAACTATTTTGAGTCATTTCTATCTCAAGTTAAACAAGAGCAATGAGTGTCCCATAATCTCACGCAGGTCCCTCTAAGTATAAAGGTTGTACCTTTTCAGGCCTGACCCGCCAGGGGAATCAAGTTGAGTCCCGTGGCTGCTCCTAGGGCAGCACAGAACAGGTTTGTTTCTTCCTGTGTTAATCCAGGAGACCAATCACTAATTTCAGGTAGTTAGCCTTTTTTTTTCTCTCTTCTGATATTTTTACCTTTACCTGATATCCCTACTTTCACCTGGAATAATACCGGTTTTCACACTTGTGAAGTAACCCCCCTTTTTTTCCTTCTAGAAGTAAAACAGCTTTATCCCTATCAGTCTCCACATAGATAGAGTGGCTTGTTTGGTAGCAGCGTTTGTTTATATTCTTATAGTTAGGCCAGGTTTCTTTTCTCATGACTGGATTTTTTTTTTTTTTTTTTTTTT